GATTTTGTCACATAAATCACATAACCGGCTGTAATTAAAAATCAAAAAGAAGTATTTATCAAGAGGAAGACAAGTACTTGTCTTTGGCGAACAATGAATCTCGAGCTTGTATTCACGAGGAAATTCCGACATTAATTACTTTGGTTATTCTTCCTTAATTACTGCAAATGTTTAAATATTTTCTTGAGATCTTGTTTAAATGAGAGTAACATGCCGAGAAGTACAAGAATTTTTGCCAACATCCGGGTTAATTCGGCCGAAGCTAAGCTAACCTATTCTAATTTGAATAAATTGTTCAATTTGAATCTCAGCAAACCATGACGACGGCTTCATGTCACATTTTACCAGCCACGCAGAAACAATTTGTCAATGTAGGCCATTGTACCATGGTTTTTTGTTTGAATTTTAAAATAAAGTCATATTTCTTTGTCGAACAATGGAGACATGAAGCGCATAAAGGTGAATAATATACTTTTATTCGCCTTAATGTGGCTAATGGGTTCAGAGACGATAAGTCTGGTTTCGTGATGTCCGATACACCTGATACGCAAATTTTTATACCCCTACACCATATTTTTATACACCTCGAAATATTCAAAGTATATATATTCTTGATCAGCATATTATGTCGATTTACGATGTCCGTCCGTCAGTCCGTATATGGAAACCACTCTAGCTTCCGAACGAAATTAAGTAGATTCATAAAATTTTACCCAAATGTATATTATGTCTTCAGGACTTTTGGTATTGAAAATGGGTCATGTAGGTTCGTAATTTGAAGTTCTTAATGGGTACTTTAATCTATGGCGGAAAATTGTCTATGCAGGTCCAGGTCTCCGAATAACCACAATATATGGGTACCTCCCTATATTCGGTATCTTGCTGATTTCAGCGGCATTGTTCACCGGAATCGTTTTAAATTTCGTAATGGGTACTACAGTCTACGACAGAAAATTGTCTGTGCTGGTTCAAGTCTTCGTATAGCCCTCATATAACGATACCTCCCTGATATTAAGTATTTTGATGATTTTGGCGACAGTATTCACCGGATTTTTTTTTTTTCATTTCGTATTTGAAGTTCATAATGGGTACTTTAATCGATGACGGAAAATTGTCTATGCAAGTCCACATCTTCGTATAACGGCATTTGATATTTTAATGATTTTAGCGACATTATTAATCGGAATTATTTCAAATTTCGTATTTAACGTTCATAAAGGGTACTAAAACCTATGGCGGAAAATTGTCTATGCAGGTTCACGTCTTTGTATAGCCCACATAACGGTTTTCATTTGAGTGGTATTTTTCGACGGAATTTTTTTTTTTGAAATTTTTCAAGTTCTTTCCCAATGGTGGATGGTACAAAAAGTTCGGCCCTACCGAACGTAAGTTCTTTTTTACTTTATTTTATATCCTCCACCATAGTATGGAGGGTTTATTACGTTTGTCATTTCTTTTATAACACCTCGAATTATACATTTTAGACCCCACAAAGTTTATATATTCTTCATCAGCATAAAGTTCTATAACGGTTTAACGATGACCGTCTGTCTGTCCTTCCGTCCGTCCGTATGTGGAAATTACTCTAGCTTCCGAACGAATTGAAGTAGGTTGATAAAATTTTACTCAAATTTATATTTCGTCTGCGGGACTTTTGGTTATGAAGTATTGATGATTTTAGTGACATTGTTCACCGGACTCGTTTCAAATTTCGTATTTAATGTTCCTAATAGGTACTTCAATCTATGGCAGAAAATTGTCTATGCGAGTCCACATCTTGGTATGGACCCCAAAATAACGGTATTTTAAAGATTTTAACAGAATTTTTAACGGATTTTTTTATTTATTATTATTTTTATTTATTTAATTTTATTATGATTATTATTATTTATTTATTATTATTATTATTTTTTTTTTTTTTTTGAAAATTTCCAAATGGTTATTCAAAGTTCGGCTCGGTCGAATTTACTGCTTTTTAAGTTAACTTAGTCTTTGGATTTTCTTATATTATTAACTCATAAAAATAGATTATTTGATTGTTAAGCTCAAAGTACAACTTCAGATTTTTTCTAAGCTTATAAGCATCAATTTTATGCCGATTTAACCATGTATTAGGTTGACAAGATTTTATTCCGATGCATTTTAGGTCTGCAGAATTGTTGGTATTAAAAATGTGCCACATAGGTCCGCACTTTGGTGTAATCATATAACTGTGCCGCCAGATTAAATGTTTTAGTCACAATTTTAAACGGACATTACCAGTATAGGTAATAGGATAGACCTCCTCATAGAATAGACCTCCAGATATCAGTATTTTGATAATTTGTGTCACACTTTTCATTAGAATTGTTTCAAATTTGTTATTAGTAGTTCGTAATGGTATGATAATTCTATGATAGAATATTGCCTATACAGGTCCACATTTTTGCTTAGGCCCCATATAACGGTACCTTCCCATATCCTATATTTTAATGATGTTATAGACATTGATCAACGAAATTATTTTAAAGTTGGTATTTGGTGTTGGCTATCTTCTCTGATAGATTTACAGATCTGCTATCTACGCAGATCCATATAACTGTTCTAAATATTCGGTATTTTGATGATTTATGTCGCATTATTTGACGGAATCGTTTCACATTTGTTATTTATAAAGTCTTCAAATTTAGAAGGACTGACGGAATTCCGTTCAAAAACAAATTTGCCGCATTGTAATGAAATCGGCAAATATTTGGATATAGCTTCCATGTATATTTTCGGACGATTTAATATAATTGGTATATTCCAGTAAAATTCGGAATGAGTGACGAAATTTGGTACAAAAATGAATTTTCTAAATTATATTGAAATCGGATCAGATTTGGATTTAGCTTCAATATATTTTCGACCGATTTCCGGTTTTTACTACACCAAACACGATATGTACCTCCAATTTCAATGAAATTTACAATGTGTAAAGGAATTCGGTATAAAATTAAATTTGCCAAATTATATATAAATCGGATCAGATTTGAATATAGCTCCCACATATATTTTCGGTCGTTTTTACATATTTGATGCACCAAACACGACATTTATGTCCGATTCCAATGAAATTCGGAATCTGTGACGGAATTTAGTACAGAAATTGCCAAATTATATTTAATTTCGATATTATTTTATTAAGATACATAGGGCCATCACGCCATTGCAATGGCATTAGGCTAACAGTGAACAAAAACTAACAACAATTTAATTGAGGCTACGATTATTACGGAGAAGTATGTGGGTTCAGTTGTATTTCTACATCGAATTCCTGTAATAGCAACAGAAATGCCGGTAAATTTTTTATATTCCTAAATATGTTTTATTTTTTTATTTAAAAACCACAAAATATTCGTATAGATTTTCAGTATGTGACAAAATCTGTACTATTCAGGCTGATATTACACATTTGATGCACAATAAACGTGAAATCGGATGATAATAAATATTGGAACTATATCTAAAATTGAACCCATTATAACCAATTTTAACAGGGTTCATCCCGGGGCCCAGCAAATAACTGGGCAAAATTTCATTTTTATACTTAGCTTACAAAAATTTACGGGCAGAAGGACCAAATTCGAACCTAAATGTTATTCTATTGAGAGCGCAAAAAGAACCTATTTTAAGATTAAGATGTTTTAATACAAATCAATTTTGTCGTGTAAGTTGATTAGAAGTCATTTACAAGACTTATTCCTAAATCGACTCGAATTTCGAGCGCCCTCTGGTGAAGAAAAATATACACTAATTTCACTTTTTGTACTGTATCAATTGTATTTGTAACATTTTTGCAATACAGTACATGGAAATGGTGTTTGGCTTTACTGCAGCAAATAGTTATTTATGAATTTTAAAGCATGCTTTTAGGCCCGCGACTTTAATGAATATTAACCCACAGTAATGGATATATAAATCTTTGCCAGACACATAATTGTTGTCACATTCATTAGCAAATTAACAGAATCAAATTGTTTCATATATAATTTTTGTTTGATTTATTTGGTTTTTATATATATATATATATCAGCATAAAATTCTATTTCGATTTAGCGATGTCCGTCCGTTTGTCCGTATGTGGAAATCACTCTAGCTTCCGAACGAATTGAAGTAGATTGATAAAATTTTACTCAAATGTATATTATGTCTGCAGGACTTTTGGTATTAAAAATGATCCGCGTTAGCCCCCATATAACGGTACCTCCCAAAATTTCGGTATTTTGATGATTTTAGCGACATTATTTACCAGGATTGTTTCAAATTTGGTATTTGAAGTTCGAAATGGATACTACAGCCTAAGACAGAAAATTGTCTGTGCAGGTCCACGCTTTCGTATAGCCCCCATATAACGGTACCTCCCCATAGAATTGCCAAATTCGTTCCAATTGGTGGGGGATACTCAAAGTTCGGCTCGGCCGAACTTACGGCTTTTTTACTTGTTACAATAATTGAATTGCTCTTTTATTATTTCGAAAATAGAACAGGCTGAAAATAGAATAGGCTGATCAAAAATTAAAAAAAGTTTACCGAAAACCTTCAAAGTCACCCATGTCTCAGAAAGTCTAAAATAACGTGTGGGACACTTAAGCCTGGTAATATCCAAACATATGGCTACAAAAACTAGCCCCCAAACTGTTTCCGCGACATCTGTCGCGAGTGACTATACTAGAATATTATTGTCATTAGATTGCATATATGTAAGTCTCACCATCAAAAGAGAATAGTAAAATGAAATTTTAAGACAATCCAAAAACAACAACAGAATTTCGAAATGTAACGGTATACCTGTGTTCGAATAGAAATTCCATGAATTGGCATTTATGATCACTGCAAATCGATACGAAATAGAAGAACTGGAGTAATTTCGAATTTGCCATTTGATTGATTGCTCAATCGACTGTTCGTTCAGTTGAGGTCAGGCTATTAGTGCAAGCATTTTGCAAAGCACTATAAAGTTTGGCTTAAATTGTTTTTTGTTATTGTATTTTTTTTCTGTGTCGCATAAAATCTTGATTTTTCGAAAAAAAATACTACTTTGTTAAATTTATTATTGTTGTTAATTAAATTTTGTTTAAAAAATCTTGAAAAACTACTTTCGCAACAAAATAAATTCAAACGAATGTAAGTGCATGAATGTGATACCTAACCTCAAATACGAAGAAGAAAACAAATATTAAATTACTCAAAACTAATGTGTTTCCATAGGGCTTGGATTTCACAAGGTCCGTTTCGGAAAAAAATTCTGAATGTCAATGAATTTCCCACCGCTAGAAATTACGGAGGCAGATCACCATTTTCCCGTTCGCATGTAATTTACATATTTGTTGTTCTATGTGTCCTCCAACAAATGATTCCAAATGTCGAAGCCAGAGGTCCTTGCAATGAGGATCAATTCGCCTGCAAAGATGGTCGTTGCATTTCGAAGACAAAAATGTGTGATGGTCGCTACGATTGTTCGGATAATTCTGATGAAATTGATTGTGGTAAGTACGGGCTACAAATTGTGATCGGATTTCTTTGTGAGAGAGAGAGGGTTTGCAAACACGTGTGCGGTTTCTACTCTCTTCAATCTATATAAAAGAGTAGTGAAATAACTGATTGACTGACTCACTGAGCTTAAACGCCCATTCGAAACGGCTGAAGCTAGAATCTTGACATTTTACACGAGGGTCAGTCTTGGTACGTAGGAGTGTGGTAAATGGTCTGTTTCAGAACTGCAAGGATGTAAATATTTTTACCATTATAACCGATTTTCCATTTATGACATCGAAAAAAATTGCAAAACCAGTAAATTCTTGCGGATTCTGGAACAGGGCAAAGGCTGGGTTTTTGTAGCAAGGTGCGAAAAGTACTAAAATGTACTAAAAATTGAATGCTTCGTATTGGACAAACAGAATGAGGTAGAAATGAAATTTTTGAATGAGAGTCAATGAACGAGTGCAGGATGTATGTACCAAAGAGTTTTTGGACTACACTATAAGTGTACGAAATGCGTACCACAATTGTTACCATTTAGTATCATGTGAACGGTTAGAGCTAAAAAGTTAAATTTGGAATGGAAACTTATGTTGAGCGGTATATGAAAAGTACTAAACTGTACTTAATTTGGTAGCTGAAATCCTGAAATTTGAAATTAACATTACTGACAGAGTGTAGGATTGGGAAATGGAGGTACTTTTCGAAATCTGTAGTTACGTGCTAAATGGTACTAAATTTGGTACAATTCGGATTTGGAAAAACGAAAGGAGGTGGAATCCGAGTGTAGGATTGGGATATAACGGAAGTTTTCGAAATTTGTATTTATGTATAAGAAAAGTACTAAGAGTACTAAATTTGGTACAATTTCGAATTGTTGGAACCAATAGAGCTGGAATGCTGAAATATGGAAATAAGGTTACTATTGCATTGTAAGACTGAGATATGTAGGTAGTTTTGAAAATACCCCTTATTTGTACTAAGTGGTACTAAATTTGGAATCCTGGAATTTGGAAATTACTATCGCATTGTAGGATTAGTGTATTAAGTAAGTTTTCCAAATTATGTGCACAAAGTGGTACTAAATTTGGTACATTTTGGATTTGGGTGAACCAACAGAGATGGTATCCTGAAATATGAAAAAAAGATTGCTGTGGGGAAGTAGGATTGTAGGATTGTACTTATATGTACCAAAATGTACTAAATTTGGTGCAACGTGGATTTGAGTGAACCGTTAGAGCTCGAATCCTGAAATTCAAATTAAGATTACTCTTGGAATTTAGAACTGGGGTATGTAGGAATCTTTAGAAATTCGTACTTATGTTTACTAAATGGTACTAAATTCGGTGCAATATGAATTTGGGTGAACCGATAGGGCTGGAATACTGAAAAAGGAAAATTAGATTTCTATTGGATTGTATGAGGCAGGTGATTATGGAAATTCGTACATATGCGTGCTAAATGGTACTAAATTTGGTACAAATTTGGAAATAAGATTTCTATGAGATTGTACAATTGAGATTTGGAGGTAGTTTTGGAGATTTGGAGTGTAGGATTGGGGTATGTGGGAAATTTTGGAAATTCGTACTTATCTAAATTTGATACAATTTGGATTTGGGTGTACCAATCGGGCTAGAATCCTGAAATTTCTAATTAAGATTACTGTTGGAATATAGGCTGTTATGGACATTTGTACTTATGTGTATCAAATGGTACAAAATTTGGCACAAATTCGGTACAAATTTGGAAATAAGATTTCTATGGGTTTGTATGATTGAGGTATCGAGGCTGTATTGGAAATTTGGAGTGTAGGATTGGGGTATGCAGAAAGTTTTGGAAACTTGTTCTTATGTGTACTAAATTTGGTACAATTTGGATTTGTTTGAACCGAAAGGTTTGAATTTCGAAATTTGGTATTAGGAATACTTTTGGAGTATAGGATTGTGTTATGTATGAACTTTTGGAAACTCGTACTTATGTGTGCTAAATTGTACTAAATTTTGTACAAATTGGAATTGTCTGAACCTACATACAGATTTAGAGCCCTGAAAATTTGAATAATTTTTTGGAAATAAGTACTAGAGAGTACAAAAGGTAATAATGGTACAAAGTTAAGTATTGCTTGTACGGATAGAGTTACATTTCTAAATTTTGGTTTTGGGTTCAGAATTGGTGTGAAGTAGAGATTTTGGAAATTCATACCGTACAAATACAAAAATTACGAAAAGTTCTAAGATTGTAGTATACTTCTAAAATGGTTCCAATCGGTATTGTAGATATGAGAATTTGGTATGAGAATCAAGTTTGGAAAGTAAGTTTATATGATCGAGGTTTTGGTAATGGGAACTAAGTGCGCGAACTGTACTAAATGGTGCTAAATTTGGAGCAGCTTGGTTTAGGGTGAACGGATCTAGCTATAATATTGAGATTTTGTATTAGGATCTCTTTTGGTGGCAGGTTTGTGATAACGAGGTGGTTTTGGAAATGTGTACAACAAGTACACAAAAAGTACTAAATAGTACCATATTTGGTATTGGGTGAACAGTTTGTACTTAAAATCTGAACTTTGGTATTAGGGTCGCGGTTCATGTGTAGCCTGGACATGTGAAAGTGGATTCGGAAATATGTACTATAATTTTACGAAAAATACTGAATGGTACTAACTTTTGTAGTGGGAGAAGGGATTGATACATAATTCTGGAATTTGATATTTAGATTACTGATGGTATCTGGGTTTGAGATTGTGGGTGGCTTGGAAAAGCATCCTATATTTGTACAAAAAGTACTAAATGGTACTAAATTTGGAATTTAATTTAGATTAAGATTACTGATGGTATCTGGGTTTGAAATTTGTGGGTGGCTTGGAAAAGCGTCCTATATTTGTACAAAAAGTACTAAATGGTACTAAATTTGGAATTTAGTGAAGATATATGGCTGGAATCCTTAAATATTATATTGAGGTCTCTGTTGATATCCGGAATTGAGATATGGGTGAGGGTTTGGGAATGTGTACAATACGAAAAGTACTGAATGGTACTATATTTGGTATTGGGTGAAGAAATAAAGATAAAATTCTGAAATTTGATATTTAGATTACCGATGGTATCTGTATTTAAGATTTGGCGGAGGTTTGGGAATGTGGCCTATATTTGTGCCAAAAGAACAAAATGGTACTAAATTTGGTATTGGGGGAAGGTATAAGGCTGAAATCCTGAAATTTGATATTGAGGTCTCTGGAATTTAGAAATGGAGATGGGTTTTAGACATGTGTACTATAATTGTACGAAAAGTACTAAATGGTACTAATTTTGTACCATTGATAGTGTCAAGGATGGAGAGATGTAGATTGTTTTTGGATGTGCGTACTAAATGTTACTAAATTTGGTATTGAGTAAAGGGAATGAGCAGAAATTTGATATTTAGGTCACTGATTTTAAGTCATTGGTTTTAAGTTATTAGAAAATATAACTTTGCATTTTCTTGTATAACTAGTTATTCAATATTTTAAAATTGTATGCTCTCAGCCTTATAATTCGATCGAAACACCCATGACTCTGTGGACGATATATATTTCAGGACATTTGGGTTCGAACTTGCCTATATAAATATCGCTTCACTACTCCATTTTTGTGGTGAGGTCTAAATTAAAATCAGTTGAAAATGGACAAGAGTAGAGGGGCGAAGGGTATCATGAACCCTACACCACTGTGCATAAAATTGGTTGAAGCATACAGATGTGTATATCTGAATTGATCTCCAGTTTTTGCTGATATGACAAATTTGGTACTCAATAAACGTGAAATCGGATGAAGACATATTTAGGGCCTATATTCAAATTTTGGCAACGATATTTTTATGCCTGTAGCACAGTGTGGGAAAAGCAGAATTTCCGGACTTTGATTTTGAGTGCTTTCATGGCTTAAAGACGACTTTTATTCCCTAAATAAATAGTCACTGAACCTGCCATTGGACTTTTTAAATACTTGTTATTTTTGTGTCGCCTAATAACCAATTTCAATTTTTTTTTTTTTTTTTTTTTTTTTCTGAATATCAAATAATCTTCATTAAGCATTTTAAAATATTTTTTTTACTCTCTCTGCAGACTTTAAAATGTGTCGCAAACCGAATTGGTTTCAGTGTACTCTGCCAAATGGTCCTTGCCTCTCATCGGATCTTTTGTGTAATGATGTTGAGAATTGCCCCGGCGGTGAAGATGAACAGCATTGTGCCCATCATGAACGTAGTGGTGCCTCCGACTTTGGCATAGGTGGCTGGTTAACGGTTCATCGAAATTGTACCCAATTTGAGTATACCTGCAAATCAGACAAACTATGTATACCGCTAAATTTTATGTGTGATGGAAAGCGTGATTGTGCCGATGATTCGGATGAGATTGCCGGTTGCCTTCGTGCAGAGGCAAGTTGTACGGGATTTTTCTGTGCCAACAAACGTTGTTTGGAGAGTAAGAAATGGGTTTGTGACGGTGTCGACGATTGCGGCGACGGCAGTGATGAGAAGATTTGTGGTAAGTGTAGGAAAAATTAAAAAAATATTTTAACAAAAACACGATTTAGAACGCGATCCTTGATAATATTATTTTTATTTCAAGAACCTTAGCAATATTAATTTAAATGCGTGGTTCTTACAAAAATAATCATAAAAATCAGAGATCATTGAAATCGTTGGTACTTACTTTGAAAATACATTATATGTTTATAAAAATCGTGTATGATCCTTAAAAGTTTTCTTCAATATAGATTGGTCATTGCAAAAAAAATTAAAAAATATTTTTAAAAATCAAAAATCATTAAAAATTTTTAAAAAAGTAGATCTTTGAAAACTATTCTTTTAGAAATTCGCGATGATACAAAAATAATAACCTTAAAAATATTTATAAAATTAAAAGATTAAAAAACAACTCGAAAAATTCTGATCATTGAAATGAAGTTCTTAAGAAACCCCAAAAAATATTCATAAAAAAGAATTATTCAATATCCACAACGCCTGGCAAGCATATTCCAAAAAGTTCACGAGCCTTAACAATAGCCTTTAAATACAATTTGTTAATGAAACCCTGAAAATTTTTTTATTAAATGTTTAAAGCTCTATTGGTTTCTGAACACTGACATATTTTGGGTCATTCGGTTTGCAACAACTCGAAATATTCGTCGGAGACCCTATAAAGACTAATCTAGCAGATTTAAAAAGATAGCTAAAAATACAAGAAATTTGTATCGGCGTTTTGAACGTTTAGGGGTTGGTCGCAGGTCGCAATTATAGACCAATCGACGCGGAAGTTAGCATGGGGCTAGAGCTGGACAGAAACATTTCAATTTGGATAGTCATCGGATAAAATTTAGTGGGTGAAATAGACCATAACATTTGTCTTAAATAAAAGTCAAATTTTCCATTAAACCCCGATTTATTTTAATTCCGAAATCACAAATAGACGAAAATGTCAATTCTGACAAAGGAAAGGGATGTTAGCTAGAACGGTTATATCGCAAGAATGGCTGGATCGATTTTGACAAATTTGGTCACTTCAGAATGCCCTCATGCCATAAAATAATAAAGTCTAAAAATCGCATAAAAAGATGCCTATAATGATGTTAATATAGCTTTTGTAGTTTTTTGTGATATATTTCAATACTTTTTACAGCTTGCGATTTTTTCAATTTGACCTATAATATTGAAGTGTACATTTTATAATATATTTCTCCTTACAACACAGATTGGGGTTATTATATACAGATTGCAATTATCGTCCGATCCTCACGAAAATTTTCATAAGGATAGATTTAGGTTCAGAAGGGTTGGCATATTGCTTATAAAGATGTCCGCAATATATTTAGGCTTTGCTTCTTGCATTTGGATATGATCGTAAAATATTTAGGGGTTCAAATGAACAAAATTCAGAAACATTTTTCTGATCACACAATTGAAACTAATCGACACGGAATTTTTCAGGAGAAGAGAGTTAAGGGCAAGGAAGAAGTCTAGCATTTTGGATGACCATTGGATTAAACTTAGCTGTAAATGGACCACAAGAACTAACAACACGACGGAGTGCGTAAATATTGGGTAAATGCCCATGGTCAAAAAGCTAAGCTAAGTCAATCAGTCCGTCCGTCTGTCAATGGATTTTTGTAAACAAAGTACAGGTTGCAGTTATAGCCCGATTCAGATGAAATTTTGCACAAATCATTTGTTTGACTAACCCTATTGAAATTTGAGATAATCGGTAAAAACTAGATATAGCTTCCATATATATCTTCGTACGATTTGCCTTTTATTGCCCACCAAACGCGTAATATCAGGACATCGACCAAATTGGGCCTGAAAATAAGTATACCAAATTTGATCGAAATCGGTTCAGATATAGCTCCCGTATATATGTTTCATCCGATTTGGGATTTTAGGTCCCTCACATTCGTAAAATGCACTCCATAAGAATGATATTTGCTACCAGATATCAGATACAGCCCAGAAATACCCCTGCCAAATTTTATCCAGATCGGTTCAGATATAGCTAAAGCTATACCTTTATCAGATTTCAGATTTATTGTGCATCAAATGGCAAATATCAGCCCAAATGGAGTGAATTGTTGCACTTCCTACCGTATTCAGCCTAGAAACAAGTACTTCAGATTTGGTACATCAAATTTCTAGAAAATGGATTCACATATAGCCTTAGCTCTCATATATTATGTTTCCTCCGATTTGGGATTTTAGGTCCCTCACATTCGTAATATGCATTTGAAAACAATTATATTTGGTACCAGATATCTTATAGTGCTCGGAAATATCTCCGCCAAATTTTATCAAGATCGGTTTAGATTTGAATATAGGCCCCAAATATATCTTCAACCGATTTTGAGTTAATTGTGCACGAAATGGCCAATATCTGTCAAAATGTCCTGAATTTTGGTACATCGGACCGAATTTAGTCTAGAAGCAAGTAAACCAAATTTGGTGAAAATCAGTACAGATATAGCTAAAGCTCCCATATATATGTTTGATCTGATTTGGGATTTTAGGTCCACTCCACAACAATGATATTTGATACCGGGCATCTGATACAGCCCAAAAAATAAGTGCCTACAATTTTGTCAAGATCGGTTCAGTTTTGGTTGTAGCTACCATATATACCTTCACCGATTTTGTGTTAATTGTGCAAATAATGGCCAATATCAGTCCAAATGGCCTGAATTTTGGCACATCCCACCGAATTCAGTCTAGAAGCAAGTAAATCAAATTTAATGAAAATCGGTACAGATATACCTAAATCTCCCATATATATGTTTGATCTGATTTGATCTTTAAGTCCCTCGCATTCGTAATATGCACTCGACAACAATGATAATTGGTACCATATATCTTATTGAGCTCGGATATACCTTTGCCAAATTCTATCGAGATCGGCTAAGATTTGGATGGAGCTCCCATATATATATCCTTAATCCGTTTTCAGGTTTATTGTGCAAATTATGGCTAATATCAGTCCAAATGGAGTGAAATTCAGGACTTACGTTTCCATTTTATTATTCATATGATATTCATCAACTTTGGATTCTAAGTGGAAAGGTGAAGTTTGCGCAATAATATGCAATTTGACATTTCGGAATAGTCCCGATACATCTTGAATTTCGGTATTTCGTCCCCGATTTCCAAACAAATGATTGATATTCATACCAGATTCTGTGAGTATATTCACTCATCTCAAAAAAATATTAAATATGAGTATAGTAGTCATATAAATAGATTAGATTTTCAGATAGTCAATCAGCCATAGACCATGTTTTAATCAGCAAACAAAATATATACACAAATCGAAGCTAAGGACTTGTTTCCCATGCCGTTAAATTTGACAAGGCAAATTACAAAATGTAAAGCTGGATATGCTTATTTCAAATGAGGTTACCTTTATAATTCTACCATGCAAGCCCCATTGCCGCTGCGTTTGTCCTTGAATAAATATTTAATTATTTTAATTAATTTTCATCATTAATTTCTCAATTTTTGTATTCCCCTTCCAGCCGATGACTGTACTCCGGAAATGGAAAAATTTCTCTGTGGCAACAATATGACTTGCCTGCCGCTGGAAAAAGCCTGTGACGGTGTCATTGATTGTCCCGATCGTACCGACGAATCATTTCGTTGCAATCAAACAGCCAACAGTTGTCAAAATAAAAAATGTCCCCCAGCTGCCAAATGTAAAATGATGCCACAATCGGGAGCGGAATGTATATGTCCAAGGGGTTTCAAACATTCGCTGGCCCAAGATGTATGCGTGGACATTGATGAGTGTGTCGAACAATTTGGTGTCTGCAGTCAGATGTGTATCAACACCTTGGGTAGTTATCGCTGTCAGTGTGACGAAGGTTATGTACTGAAGGAGGATAATCGAACGTGTGAGGCAGTCGGTGAAGAGGCTTTACTGCTGTATACGACCCAAGTGACGGTGATGGGCGTGAATTTGCGTTCGCGCCGTGTCTATACAGTGGCTAAGAATCTGACTAAGGTTATAGGCGTGTCATACAACGGTGAGCATATCTACTGGACCAACATACAAAACGAAGGTGAAAGTATTGTCAAGGCCAATCCGGATGGTACACAGCAAGAGATTTTGCTGACCTCCGGCCTAGACGCTCCCGAGGATTTGGCAGTAGACTGGCTAACTGGTAAGTGGGTTGAGAAATAAGACACGATAAGAATGTCATTTTTATGTGACGTTCTGCATTTTCAGGCAACATTTATTTTTCGGATAATGTTATGCATCATATTGCGGTCTGCTCGAATGATGGCCGCTATTGCACTGTCCTGGTCACCGATGATGTTCATCAACCGCGCGGAGTGGCTTTGTGGCCTCAACGTTCCCAGATATTTTGGTCCGATTGGGGTGTAATACCCATGATTGCCCGTGCCTCCATGGATGGCACCAATTCCATACGCCTGGTAACCGATAAAATCCATTGGCCCAATGGTGTAGCTTTGGATATGTACAATGATCGGGTGTATTGGGTTGATGCCAAACTGGCCACAATTGAAAGTGTTCGATCGGATGGCAAAGATCGCCGCACTGTCCTAGAGGATATCCTGAAACATCCCTATGGCTTGGCCATATTTGAGGATAAACTTTACTGGTCCGACTGGGGCACAAAGTCAATACATTCGTGCAACAAATTCACTGGCAAGGATCACAAAATCATAACCAAAGATCGCACCATTTATGCGGTGCATATCTACCATTCGTCGAAGCAAAAGAAAGTCGCCCATGAATGTGAAAGGGCCCGCTGCTCTCATTTGTGTCTGCTGGCCGAGAACAATCGTTATAGTTGTGCCTGTCCAGATGGTATGCAGTTGGGTCCAGATCATTTGCGTTGCATTAAGACCCACAAGAAGCAGCGTCTGTTCCTGGGAGTTCGAAGCAATCTCGTCGAAATGGAACACACAACATTTGGTCGCCACACAGTTTCGTCCACACATAATTTGGACCTGTTCATCCATGAAATGGCCTACAACAATATCAACAATACGGTTTTTGTTGCGGACAACTATCAACACGTGATTGGAGAATTCAATTTAAAGGGACAGTACATGACGAAATTGGTGCGTGCCAATTTGGGCAATGTTACCGGTTTGGCTTTTGGTAAGTTGACGAAGACAAAACTGTTGAAATTCGTAGAGATGTAGAAAATTTTAAAAATTTTATTAGATATTTGAAATATTGACTCGAATTTGAATACAGAGAGAGAATCAATCGAATTCTGAGGGAGTACTTCTGAGAGGACAATAAAAAAATTTAGTATAATTTGTCTTCGCCACTCGAATAAGAGCGATTTCGATTTAGTTTAGTATAATCCGCCCAAGCAGATATTTCTCTTTTCGCATCAGTGGTACGTGAGGTCCAAAAATGAACAATATCGGTCCACTCCATCAAGTACCTCCTCCACCAAAGGTCAAAATTTTTAATAATTTTAACTCTTAAAAAATGTGATGTAAAAGTCCGATTGACTTCAAATTACACACATCACAATATTTTTTATTAGTCCAAGGTCTGGTGCGAAGATGGAAGATATCGGTCCACTATTTCTTTTTCCACAATGGGTGAAAATTTTAAATCTCCATGAAGCTCATAAATCGCGAAATTTACATCCGATTCGATTCAATCATGGCATATCTTAATATTTCTATCAACACAAGATCTGTTGTAAAGACGGTATATATCGGACCATAATTTCTGTTACTTCTCCCTCAAAGGGTAACAATTTTTAATAACCAAAGCTATCATAAAATCCGAAATAAGATTCCGGTTCGCTTCATATTTCAAACACCCCATTATTTCTACTAACACAAGATCTGTTGTGAAGATGGGATATATCTACTTATTCTGGTACCTCCCCCACAAAGGATAAAAATGTTGAATATCCATGAAGCTCATAAAACGCGAAATGAACATCCGATTCCATTCAGTCTTGGTACATCTTAATATTTCTATCAACACAATATCTGTTATAAAGATAGTATAGATCGGACCATCCCTCCTTGTACCTCTCCCACAAAGGGTCCCATTTTTGAATAACCAAAACGATCATGAAATCCGAAATAAGATTCCAGTTCTCTTCATATTTCACACATCCCATTATTTCTACTAACACAATATCTGCTTTTAAGATGGGATACCTCGGTTCACTCATTCTGGTACTTACCCCTCAAAGGGTCAACATTTTGAATATCCATGAAGCTCATATAACACGAAATTAACATCCGATTCCATTCAAACTTGGTTGGTCGCAATATTACATCTAACACAAGGTCTGGTGTAAATATGGTAGAGATCGGACCATTTCTTCTGGTACCTCCGCCACATAGGGTTCAAGATTTAAAAAAATAAGTATTCAACTTTCTTCAAATTTCACAGATACAAAAATTTTTGCTAACACAAGATCTGTTGTGAAGATGATATGCATCTGGGAACCCCTTCTGGTACCTCACCCACAAAGGGCCACAGTTTTCAATACTTTTATCTGTCATAACTTGCGAAACAAGTCAGCGATTCATTACAACAACCACAACCAGAAACCTGAGATGAATATAGAATTTAAGATTTCGAATAAAATTGGATATTAATATTCGATTTTCTAATAATCGAACATTGGCTGAGGATATACATCTGTCGGAAAAAGCCGACCTAATCTTTTTAACTTGTTTATTTGTAAGTATGTAACTCCTAGTACAAAAAGTAAGGTACTTATATTGGTTTGGTCCAAAACGATAGGGGAGTTAGGTCACTGGGTTTGGCTGGAATACTCCTGCGCGGAACACTTTAGAACATTTATAATAATAATACTATAATTGAATATATTTATTAATAAAAAAATAACAAGTAAGCAAAGTCTATAGTCGTACGGCGCCGACCATGTGATACCCTACAACGCTACAATATGACAGAAGCTCCCTCATGCCCAAATCTATTTTGGATGATTTCGATTTTGAAATTATGTCATGGAGCACTGCCCAGATATTACCCTTAGCATTTTGAACGGGGACATTTGCTCAATATTTGCGCACTCCGTCGTGATACTAGTTGTTGTGTGCATTTTACAGCTAAAAATATTCCAATGGTCATCCAGAATGCTAGACTTCTTCCCTGTCCTTAACTCTCTTCTCATGCAAAATTCCGTGTTGATTGGTTTCAATTGTGTGATCAGGAAAATTTTTCTGTTTGTGATTCATTTGAACCCCTAAATATATCGCGATCATCTCCAAAAGCAATAGGGCCCTCTGTATCCAGAAGTTCGCCTTTTGTATATTTTGCATTTCGCCTGTAAGTATGTTGGTATTTTTTTCACACAAGTGGTCCATTCTACTCGCTGTCCTAAACTCTAACTTCATGCGAGATTTCGTGCCCTTAGGTTCATATTTGCGACCTTCATAACGGCTAAAAAATCAGGAACATTTTTAGTTTTCAGTTTCAACCCCTAAATCTTATGCGATCATCTCCAAAAGCAATAGTAGTATTATTATTATGACCCAAGGCCCACCTCTAAATTTCGTGAGGATCGGACTATAATTGCGACCTGTAGAGTGATTACAAATTAACATGGATGGACGGACGGATGGACATACATAGCTTCATCGACTCAGCTCGGCGAGATAGGAAGATCCATATGTACTTCCCTATGTGGGAAACCAATATTTCGAGGTGTTACATAATTTTTAGCCCAATCAAACTTATAATATCCCCAACACATAGTGTTGTAGGGTATACAAATATAATCATCAATATACACTGATTTATTTCAAACAGTCTATTTCATATACATCGTTTAACAACCGTTCATGATATTCGAAACACTGTGTTTGAAAATTAAAGACTCTGCATAATATTCAAAGTACATATTTTGATAATTAAATAAAATGTGCAATAAAGAGATATACCGCTTGATAATAAAATTCAAATGTTTAAGGATCGAACATACTGTTTGATTTAAAAATTCACCATTTAGTTATCAAATGCACTTTTTGTTCGATTATCAAATGCCCCGAACTTGTTAATAAAATACAATATTTTATAATCAATAATATACAGCTGATATTCAAAGTACTGTGTTTGAAAATCAAATACAGTGCTCGATATTCCATTTTGATAATCAAATAAAATGTTCGGCAATCATATATACGGATTGATAATAAAGTGCGAACTTGAATAATCAAGCATAATGTTACGTAATTTGGGTTTAATTTAAACCAGTGTAAACATTGTATTATTCCCCGATGCGAATTGCTCCAAACAAAATGAAGTCCTTTTTAAAATACGAGTCTTATTATTCTGTATTCAATAATTCAGACACGTGATAGTGTGATTTTCTCTTGAAATTTGGCTGGAAAACCACAAGTGGCTATCGTTAGAGCACTCCAGCATTTAAATGTGAATAAATCTTTTGTGTCTCGTACCATTGCTCGTTACCGTGATACTGGTAGCGTAGCCCGACATGAAAGAAAACAGCAACATTAGCAGAAATGGTTCGAAAAGTAAAGAAGCAACTTGATCGAAACCCGCGTAGCAGTGGCTCGTGAGCTGAATATATCCCAATATTCCTTTCGGCAAATATTGGAAAATGAGCTCGGGGTAAAGCCATTGAAATTCCATAAAGTGCAAGAACTTACACCGCAACAGACTCAAAAGAGCTAAAGAGTTGCTTCGTTTGGCCGAAAGTGGTGAACTGCCGAATTTGGTTTTCTCCGATGAGAAAACATTCGTTGTCCAGCAGTTTGTAAACAAACAAAATGATTGTGTTTACTTGCCAAAGAGGTCAGCTGATAATGTGTACCTTCAGTTGGCCACCAGAACTCAAGCGCCGGCCATGGTCATGGTGTGGGCCTCCATAACAGCCGATGGTCGCTCTCCGCTCGTATTAATGCCGAATATTATCGAGAAAATATTCTGGAGGCACGCAAACATTTTGGCCGCAGACCTTGAATAAGCCAGCAAGACTCAGCACGCTCCACCCAAGAATGGTTACAAAATGAGGTTTCTCGCTTCATTTCCAGCGCATAATGGCCACCAAAATCTCCGGATACCAATCCGTTGGACTATTGTGTGTGGAGTATTTTGAAAAGCAAGGTTGGCACTAAAAAATACCAAAGTGTCGATCACCTCAAGCAAGCGCTTCGCCGGAAATGCGCCGAAATACCGCAGAGCAACATTCGGGCAGCGTGCGGCATTTTCATTTGCCGTTTGAAGGCCATAATTCGTGCAAAAGGTGACCAATTCGAAGAAATCCAAGTTTATTCTAAAATTTGATGCTATTTCCGACATTTTTGCTTTCATTCAAAAAATTTAAAAATTACGGCGTTTGACTTTGTTGCATTTTTTCCTCACCCTATATATTCAAAATATTTATTCGAAAAATACGTTTTAAACGAAAACCGTTATATGGGGCTATACGAAGACGAGAACCTGCCTAGCTTTGGTTTTGGTATAGCCTCCATATAACGGTACCTCCCGATATTCGGTACTTTGATGGTTTTAGCGAAATTATTCACCGGAATTGTTTCAAATTTGGTATTTTAAGTTCGTAATAGATACTACAGCCTATGACAAAAAATTGTATGTGCAGGTGCACGTTTTGGTATAGCCCCCATATAATTGTACCTCCCTATATTCGGTATTTTGATGATACAGGTTCACGTCGTCGTATAGGCCCTAATATAACGACTACATTCTATATTTTACGCCTTATTCCTACGATTAACGACAATGCTCTCTAATGCATTTGTGTTTGTTCCGAAGTAGCTGTACGCTGAGAAAACACCAACAATTATAACAAAAAATTTGCTCCTTCTGAAAATCAGCAAAGTAGACTCGGCCTTCTTCGAGTGTCGGAGAAAAATGAAGTATGCTCGATTTATTTTTTCATTACAAGAGTTACTCCCGCTCGAATTGGAATAAAGAGTGAAACTAGCGGGAATACGAGTATTTCAAAACTCTGCCTAGAAAACCAATCTCACAAAGATTTGCAGGGTTTTTCACAAAGATTTGCAGAGATTCTGCTTCTGAGCTTACCTTTATCATATCGCCCTCTAAATGGAGCAGTATTATTCGTGTAGTACTTGATTCGGTTTGCTTGAGGTGTTAGATAGAGATTAGTCGATTTGTCTTTCGAATGCTAGATAGAGGACTGTTCTTTAAGAAATTTTATCATCTTTGTTTCAGTAAAATTCAGATTCTCGTCAGCAGAATCCCGCTTCTGTTCTCTTGCTTCGTCCCACCGCTACCTTCATGACCTCATTCTGGAGTTTATTTGTGTTGAAGAACTCAGACTGATCCTTTCATGGGCTTTCAGTCTTCTCCTTTGAATTTTCCCGCAGTAATTGTTTCACTCTTGTATATAGCCACCATTAGAGAGGTGCCGACGAATTTTAGGTACTCTTTATTAGGATCCATTATTAGGCAATAAGAGACTTCAATGCTCAATATTAATCGTCTTTTAAATATTGAAAATGAATATTTCATCCGGAAAATTTTTAATTTTGACAATATTTTTACAAAGCTGCTGTCAGTATTTTATTAAAATATTCTTGAATTTCAGATCACTTGTCATATTCTTTATATTGGAGTGACTCAGAGAGACATGTTGTTGAAGTTCTCTCGCTGCAAACGAAACAACGAGCCATTGTTTCGTTTTTCTCTGGCATAGAGGTTCCCATAGGTCTGGCTGTCATACCGGATGATGGGTAAGTTCAGATAACAAAAATCGGACTACTTTCAATGCATCTCTGTTGAAAATTTTTATTGCTTTCAGAATTATGTTTATTGCGTTGAGATCGCGACACCATGTCCACATCGATCAGAAATCGTTAAGTGGCACGGGGGAACACACTCACGCCTTCGAAGATGAGTTGGGCGATGATGATATTCGTTTTGCCACCGATTTTGAAACAAAGACCCTCTATTGGGCCGATAGTGATTTTGGTCGTATCTCCTTTTCCGATTATCGCAATTTAAGGGCCTACACTTTTCGCGGTCGCCTAAAACGTCCATATTCCATTGCCATTGTTGATGAAGACTTGTTCTGGACAGAATTGAATTCAAATATTATCCATTGGACTCACAAAAGCAACATGGGACCATTGAAACGTTTCGATATTGAAGTAAATCGAGAATTGTATAGCAGTGTATCATTGCCTGCCAAAATTCCCATATTGGCTAGTTCGTCACCAATTGTTGTGGATCATCCCTGCCAGCATTGGAATGGTGGTTGTTCACACATTTGTGTGACTCTGGGTAAATTTGCCTCGGCATGCCTTTGTCCGGCCGGTTTGGTATTTCGCGATGCCACCAATCGTAGCTGTATTGAGGCACTAGATTGTGAATTCCGTTGTAATTCTGGCGAATGTTTGACATTGTCGAGAAAATGTAATGGACGTAAAGACTGTCCCGACGGTTCGGATGAAGAGAATTGTGAAAATGGCAAGGGTCATAAGCCACAAGTTATCTGTACCATGGGCGAATTTAGATGCCACAATGGTGAGCAGTGTGTGGAGGGCGATCAACGCTGTGATGGCAAGAAACAATGCCAAGATGGTTCCGATGAGGAGCATTGCGAGAAATTCGGTAAGTTTGGATTTGTTAAGTCGGTTTGTAAATCTGATTTTGAAATTGTTCTCTTAGATAAATCCAAATTCTGCCACCGTCATCAACATGTCTGTGATAATGGCAATTGCGTGGACTTTAGTGTTATGTGTGATGGTTTCAATGATTGTGGCGATAATTCAGATGAGGCCGACTGTCGCCTGGCCCGTGGCAAAGATGTGACCAACCCCAGGCGTATATGTGGCCCAGATATGTTCCAGTGCAATTCCGGCACCTGCCTCTCAAAGAGTTGGGAATGTGATGGAAAAATTGATTGCAAAGATGGTTCCGATGAGCATGAGAAGTGTGGTAAGTAGAAATCATTTAACCTCTAAAGTAACAAATTTTGTGAAGCGCCTTAGAGTATGCTACAAAAATGCTCAACATAGCTTTACATATGACTCCAACATTATGTGTATCCTAACCTTAAGTAATATATAAAATATCATCTCATCTTCTAAATTTCAGGAATTCGAGAATGCCCTCCGAACATGCACAAATGCCTGTTGGGCCAATGTATTGATCGACGGCTGGTGTGCGATGGCAACAATGATTGTGGCGACACTTCGGATGAAATGAATTGCGACATGACGGCGGGTAAAAAACGTAAAATGGCTTGCGGTGATGATCGCGTGCCTATGTTTGAGTGTCCGAGTGATCCAAATGTTTGCCTAGATATGTCGGCCAAATGCAATGGCACGGCCGAATGTCCACGAGGCGAGGATGAGGTAGACTGCGGCAATATTTGTAGCATCTATGAATTCCATTGTAAGACTAGCAAGGAATGCATTCGCAATGAATTCAGATGTGACCACGAGAAAGATTGTGCCGATGGTTCGGATGAAGAGAACTGTGATCATCATGGAGCCTGGAATCGTACCGCAAATACAAAACATTCTCATGAAATGGCTTGTGGTCCCAACATGTTCGACTGTAAAGATGGACAGTGTGTTGATGAGTCACGGGTCTGCAATGGTTTCGATGATTGTGACACGGGCGCCGATGAAGGCCCCCTGTGTAAGACCGCCTGTGATGCCCAGGCGGGCCATCCTGTGTGCCAAAACAAATGTCGTCCCACACCCTCGGGGACGGTTTGTTCATGTTTCAGTGGCTACAAACTTGATGCCGATCATCGCAGCTGCTTGGACATCAATGAATGCCAAGAGATGGATCCATGTGCCCAGTTATGTGAAAATACCATGGGTTCTTATCGTTGTTCTTGCTTCCCTGACTTTATGATGCGTCCCGATAAGACTTCGTGTAAATCTATTGAAAGCGAAAGATCATTGTTGTTCACCACCTTTGACGAGGTACGCAGTATGACAGAACAACCGATTGTCTTGAAGGTAGCCTGGAAGGCCAACGATTCCAAGGTTCTAGGATTCGACGTTAATATACGTTTGCGTAGAGGTTATTTCACCACAGAGGGTGAGAATGTTTTGTATATGGTCGATATTGATAGTGGTGAGATTAAGGCGGCCTTGGAAGTTCAAATGCCAAGCAAAGTCGGCGTGGATTGGATAACGGGTAAGTTGGGATAGCGATGGCTAAAATTTTGCATACGTGTTTATTTTTCCAGTAGGCAGGTGAAGTTTGTAAATGGGCCATGAAGGTCCACGTTTTCATATAGCCCCCATATAACGGTACCTCCGGATATTCGGTATTTTAATGATTTTAGCGACATTATTCACCAGAAATGCTTCAAATTTGGTATTTGAAGTTCGAAGTACAGCCTAAGACAGAAAATTGTCTATGCAGGTCTAGGTCTTCGTATAGCCCCGTTATAACGGTACGTCCCTATATTCGGTATTTTGATGATTTTAGCTACATGATTCACCCGATTTTTTTGGGTTTCGCATTTGAATATTGTAATATGACAAAAGATGTCTATGCAGGTCCACGTCTTTGTAGAGACCAAATAAAACGGCTACATTTGGTATTTTTAAGATTTTAACAGAATTTTTAACGGATTTTAATTCTGAAAATTTCCAAATTCGTTCCTAATGGTGGAGGATATTCAAAGTTCGGCACTTCTGAACTTACTATTTTTTTACTTGTCTCTGCTGCCTTCGCAGAAACGGTGATATTTTAGAAAAATCGGCAAGTTTTTGAAATGTCATCGAAGTTTCCGATTTGATGCAGTGTTTGCATTTCAAACCCATAAAATCATTGAGTTTTAAGAATCTAAGAAGTGTGGAGGTCAGGATTCTCTAATATATATTTAACACAAACCATAGCTTTTCATCTCTTATGTTTAGGCTCCAGGTATATAGCTATCGATGTATATTGCTGTCGAAAAACTTTAATCAATGCCACTGAAAAAGTGGGTCCTGGTTTTGCATCTCGAAAATAACAGCTAAAGACTTTCAAGTTTTCCAAAAGAAAAAAGAATATTCATAAATGTCACCTTTTCTTTGCAGGTAATGTCTATGTGATCAGTCGCGCGGAGCAGTATCAAATTGAAGTTTGCTCATTTACGGCCAAAATGTGCGGAGCGGTGATAAAAGTTCAGCCAAGAGAAACAATAAAAACACTCGCCGTGGATGCCTACAACAGACGGCTGTTCTTTGTCATTATGCAAGCTCACACCTTTGGCAGTCATCGATCACGCATAACCATGACTAGCCTAGATGGTGGTGGTAAACGCGATTATTTACTGAATAAAGATAATACCTTTATTACCACGCTAGCCTGTGATCCCTACAAGAAAATCCTTTACTATACAGAATCGTTGAGTAAAACTCTACAGGCCATTAGCTATGGATCGGGCTCGAGTCGCACACCCACAACACTCATACAAAAAGGCAATGTGGTGATACATCCTTCAGGTTTGACATGGTATGAAAATCAAGTTTTCATTGTGAATATGGGAGCTCGAGAAGCGGTACGCTGTTACCTCTATGGCTCGAAGACATGCAAGGCCTTCAATTTGAATATTCTCAATGCCGAGGATATTTTGGTGGATGGCATTTCAAGGCAACCGATGAATAGAAATCCCTGCACCATGGCCAAATGTCGTGGTATGTGTGTTCAAACAGAGTTCAGCTATGAATGTATGTGTGGCGATTCTATAGTTAGTGAGAGTAAATACTGCGATTCGAACAATGAAATCTCCACGAGTGCCCTGCTCAAAAACCGTGCCAATGCGGCCGAAGATGGCGAAGGCTCATCGCATGCTGTACTCTTTGTTATGCTTATGCTGCTGGCAGTCGCACTGACAATTTGTGGTTTGGGGTATTTGTATTATCGTCGCAAACAGCAGGGACAACGTGATTTCATTCGTAACCTGCAATTCCAGAATCCGTTATCGTCACTGCTGCCGCATCAGAGAAGTACCAAGACCTCAACCCTGGACAGTGGACTCATCAGCAACGGAACGGGAAGTTCGACGGGAACCACAACGGCATCGTTTGATGTCGACAACGATCGGATGTTCTTTGGGTCGAAAATTCAAAAATTTCTTCGCGGTTCGACGACCAACAATAATACGGAAATTCTCCTCGAAACGGCCAAGGTAATATGAAATTACCACTGTGGCGTAGATGGGCTTATATATTTTTTTTTTTTTTTTTTTTTTTTGAAAGGGATATAGTTATCGCTTCCCCCAATACCAAATTTAGTACCATTTAGTACAATTTTGGTACAAATTTCCAAAACCAACTAATTTTCTCAATCCCATAAACCAACAAGGACCTCAAAAATAAAATTTCGAGATTCCAGCCCTATCCCTTCCCTCAATACCAAAATTTAGTACCATTTAGTACTTTTCGTAAAATTATATTGTACATTTCCAAAACCACCTCCATACCTCAATCCCAGATACCAACTGAGACTTCTATTTCAAAATTTCAGCCCTATCCACTCCTCCAATGCCAAATTTGGTACTATTTAGTACTTTTCTTATAATTTTAGTACACATTTCTAAAACCACCTCCATATTTCAATACCAGTTAACAACAGAGATCTCAATATCAAAGTTGAGGATTCCAGGCGTATCCCTTTCCCCAATACCAAATCTAGTACTTTTCGTACAATTTTAGTACACATTTCCAAAACCAGCTCCTTATCTCAATCTCAAATACCAACAGAGACCTCAAAATCTAAGCCCGTGATTACAGCTCTATCTCTTCATCGAAAAAAGCACCTCCATATCTCAATCCCAGATACCAACAAAATTTCAAGATTCCAGCCTCATTACTTCCCCCAATACCAAATTTAGTACTTTTAGTACAATTATAGTAAAGATTTCCGAAACCACCTCCATACCTCAATTCCGGATACCAACAGAGACCTCAATATCAAATTCCAGAATTTCAGTTCTATTCCTTCAACCAATACAAAATTTAGTACCATTTAGTACTTTTCGTGCAAATATGTACCACATTTTCAAAACCACCTCCATATTTCAATTCCAGATAACAACAGGGACCTCAATATCAAATTCCAGGATTCCAGCCCTATCCCTTCCCCCAATACCAAATTTAGTACCATTTAGTACTAAACGTACAAATATGACACACACTTCTAAAACCATGTGTCTAGGTTACACATGAACAACGACCCTAATACCAATTTTCAAATTTCAATATCGTTCACCCAATGCCAAATTGTACCAAATGTAGTACTATTTAGTACTTTTCATGCACTTGTAGTACACATTTCCAAAAATCACCTCTTTATCACAAATCTACTACCGACAGGGGACTCAATTTAAAATTTCAAAATTCCAGCTTCATCCGTTCACCCTAAACTAAAATGTTCCAAAGTTAGTACCATTTAGTTCAGTTTGCCCACTTAGTACACATTTCCAGAAACACCTTCATATATCAAATTTACTGTCTATCATTGATTCCCATAACAAATATCAAATTTTTAGCTGTATCCGTTCACACAATACCAAATTGTGCCATTTTAGTAGTTAGTACCATTTTGGAACTTTTCGTAGCCTTCGAAGCAGACCAGACGCACGGACATGCATAAATCGACTCAGAATCCGTGCATTTTCGGTGTATAGTGTCTTCGGCAATATTATTGATAGCGATTTGGGGATTATTTTGGTCAGAAATTTTAATCGAAGGGTTTTTTTTCGAAATTTGCCTTAAACTGCCTTCAAACAAGACCGCATCAAGTCAAGATATTTTAAAAAATTAGTTGTCATAGAATTCTACTATTGTCCCCTAGACAACCTTACCTTCTTTGAAGTTTTACCTAAAATGCCAGCTCATGACTCATGCCAGCAAACTTCATGAATTTACCTTATTTTAGTGATCTCCCAGACCCACCTATCTAACTACGCCACTCATAAAATAACAACAAAATTAAAATATTCCCCAATACATTTTCGTTTTGCAGCCTCAGGAAATTTGCGCCATGGAAAAGAGTCGACAATCCATTGCCCTTGTACCAAATATCATGGTTGAGGAACCCGACAATGATATCACCCGAACAGTGGGAGATTATGACGATGATGCGAGAGCCAGGCTGGTACCCTAGATGAGAGAAGTCATTCATAATTTTCTCTCCATTTTTTTGTATGCGAATCAAATTTGTTTTTTTTTTTATTTGTTGCCAGTGTAAACGATGTATTATAAGTTTGTAAAATATTTGTATATTTATTTATTTTTTTTTTTTATAATATTATCAGTATTTTTTTATTGTATATCCGCAGCATGTTATAATATTAAGGTATGTAAAAACTTGTTTCATTGTTAATAAAATTTCTCTTTAAAATTATTAATTTTATTTTATTTTTTAATTATTTAGTTGTGTCGTTAAAACTTCAACTCCCGAGACACTCCTCTTTGAAAAATTAGAGTGGGAGCAGAATCGATTAAAATAGAACGAAAATTTTCTCTATGAGCTTAAATGAGTGGAAAAAAATATTTTTTTGGTTTCGATTTTTCCTCTCTCAGGAGCGCACGACAATCATTATCGATTCCGATAATTGTGATTCTGCAACAGACAGTGTAATAAGAAGTAAACAAGTAAAAAAGCAGTAAGTTCGGCCGGGCCGAACTTTGAATACCCTCCACCAATTGGAACGAATTAGAAAATTTTCAAAAAAATATAATCCAATAAAAATTCTTTTAAAATCTTTAAAATATCTAATATAGGAAGGTGCCGATATATGGGGGGATATACGATATTGTGGACCTATAAAGACAAATCTATGTCTGCGTGTAAAGTACTCAGACAATTCCGTTGAAAAATGTGGGTAAAATCATCAAAATATCGAATATCAGGGGGTACCGTTATATGGGGGATGTACGATATTGTGGAACTATATAGATAATTCTCTGTCGAGGTATACAGTACCCACAAGGAACTACTTGTGTGGATTTTCAGACAATTCCGTTGAAAAATGTGGGTAAAATCATCAAAATACCGAATATCGGGGGGTACCGTTATATGGGGGATGTACCTTATCGTGGACCTATATAGATAATTCGCTACCGAGGTATAAAGTACCCACAAGGAACTCCTTGTATGGATTTTCAGACAATTCCGTTGAAAAATGTGGGTAAAATCATCAAAATACCGAATATCGGGGGGTACCGTTATATGGGGATGTACGATATTGTGGAGCTATATAGATAATTCTCTGTCGAGGTATAAAGTACCCACAAGGAACTACTTGTGTGGATTTTCAGACAATTCCATTGAAAAATGTGGCTAACATCATCAAAATACCGAATATCGGGGGTACCGTTATATGGGGGCTATGCGATATCGTGGACCGATATAGCCCATCTTCGAACTTGACCTGCCTGCAGACAAAATTTTAGCTTCCTATCTTAATTCGTTTAGACTGTAGCGTGATTACAACAGACGGACAGACGGACGGACAGGGCTAAATCGTCTTAGAATTTTACGCTGATCAAGAATATATATACTTTGTTGGGTCTAAAATGATTATTTCGATGAGTTACAAACGGAATGACGAACTTAATATACCCTCCATACCTTTTTTGGTGGAGGGTATAAAAAGTAGTTAATATCGGGCCTATACGAAAACGTGGACCTATATAGACAATATTCTGCTAGAGAAGGTAGAAACTCTAAATATCGAATTTTAAATAAATCCATTTAAAAATATGGAGAAAAATCGTCAAATTAGAAAATATCTGAAAGTACAATTATATGGGGGCTATAGAAAACTGTGACCCTATACATAGAGGCAATGTTCTTAAACAGGAGGTATAACACATTGTGAAATCTAAATACCGAATTTTAAATTACTCCGTTTGAGAGTGCGGCTAAAATCATCACAATATGGAATATCGAGAGATGTTATATGGGGACAAAAGCAAACGTCTATAAACGTCTATCTATATTAAGCCACAGGAGGAAGAACCCAATTTAAAGTATAAATACCGATTTTTTAACTTTTACGGTAGAAAGTACGCCTGAAATCAAATGTGGAATATAGGTAGGTACAATTATAATGGGCTATGCGAAAGCATACTGTTACATGGTCAATGTTCTGCCACAGTAGATAGAACACATTACTAACTCCAAATACCGGATTTTTTAGGTATTCCTCTGGAAATATCGAATATCGTTAGGTACAATTATTTGGGAAGCTATAGAATGAAAAGGACCTATATAGACAATTTTCTGTCACAGTAGATAGAACTCATTACGAACTCCAAATATGGAAATGTAAGCTATTCCGCTAGAAACTAAGGCTAAAATCATCAAAATACCGAATATGGGGTAGTACAATTATATGGGGGCTATAAAAAAACATTGACCGATATAATTCATCTTCGAACTTAACCTGGCTGTAAACAAAGACAGCTCTATGCAAATTTTTAGCTTGGACTCGCCGCTTGGACTCTAGCGTGATTACAACAGACCTACAGACGGCTAAATCTGCTTAGAGTTTTACGCTGATCAAGATATATAATATGATTATCTACAAGATTTACAAACGGAATGACAAACTTAATATAGCCTCCCTGGTCAATCGATTTTTATAGCCAACACCACATAGTGGTAAGGGTTTTATGTTTTGAGAAATGAGATGAAATTTTCCAAGCAATATTTGTTTGGCCCAAGGACGAACCCTATTGAAATTGGTGAGAATCGGTTCAAATGTATATATAGCTCCCAAATATATCTTCAGTCGATTTCGGGTTAATTGTGCACCAAATGACCAATATCAGTCCAAATGACCTGAATTTTGGCACATCAGACCGAATTCAGTCTAGAAGCAAGTACATCAAATTTAGTTAAAATCAGTTTAAATAAAGCTATACCTCCCATACAGGGTGAGATAAAAAACCTGCAACAAAGTCAAACGCCATAATTTTTACATTATTTTTAAATTTTATTGAATGAAAGCAAAACATGCCGGAAATAGTATCAAATTTTAGAATAAGTTTAGATTTGTTCGAATTGGTCACCTTTGGCAAGAAATATGGCCTTCAAACGGCCAATGAAATCGTCAGTCACGCGCTGCCCGAATATTGCTCTGCGGTATTTTGGCCCATTCCCGACGAAGCGCTTGCTTGAGGTGATCGACACTTTGGTATTTTTTAGTGCTACCCTTGCTTTCCAAAAATACTCCAGACACAATAGTCCAACGGATTGGTATCCGGGGATTTTGTTGGACATTGTGCGCTGGAAATGAAGCGAGGAACCTCATTTTGTAACCATTCTTGGGTGGCGCGTGCTGAGTGCAAAGGTGCTGAGTCCTGTTGGAATGTCCAAGGTCTGCGGCCAAAATGTTTGCGTGTCTAAGGCTTTAATACAACCTCCAGAATACTTTCGCGATAATAATTAAATTTATACGAGCGGAGAGTGACCATCGGCTGTTATGGCGGCCCACACCTTCACCATGGCCGGCGCTTGAGTTCTGGTGGCCAACCGAAGGTGCACATTTTCAGCAGACCTCTTTGGCAAGTAAACACGATCATTTTGTTTGTTTACAAACTGCTGGACAACTAATGTTTTCTCATCGGAGTAAATCAAATTCGGCAGTTCACCACTTTCGACCAAGCGAAGCAGCTCTTTTGAGTCCAGTTTCCTTCTGTTGCGGTGTAAATTCTTGCACTTTTTGGAATTTAATGGCTTTACCTCGAGCTCATTTTTCAATATTTGCCGAATGGAATATTGCGATATATTCAGCTCACGAGCCTTTTTTCGGCCACTGCAACGCGGGTTTCGATCAAGTCGCTTCTTTCGTTTCGAACCATTTCTGCTGATGTTGCTGTTTTCATCCGTCCACTTCCTTGACGTCGGGCTACGCTACCAGTATCACGGTAACGAGCGATGGTACGAGACACAAAACATTTATTCACATTTAAATGCTGGAGTGCTCTAACGATAGCCACTTGTGGTTTTCCAGCCAAATATAAAGAAATACCTGAATTCCATCACGAATAACTTTTTTTCTGGAAAGTTCTCACCAAAATGCTTTTGTACGCTTGTAGACAATATAATGAGATATCACTGGAATAATTTTAACAGCTGTCGGGCGAGTGGCTTATAAATGACAGCAGTCTGAAGTTGGTTGTTTTTCATCTCACCCTGTATGTCTTTGTGCATTTGTTTGTAACATGGAGAAGGAAGCGAGATAGACCTATCTTTCGAACTAATTGAGATAGAAAGCTCACATATTGCATGCATTGCATAGTTTACCAGTAGGCAGGTTATGTTCGTAAATGGGCCATTTCGGTCCAAGTTTTCATATAGCACCCACATAATGGTACCTCCCGATATTCGGTATTTTCATTATTTTAGCGGCAGTATTTACTGGAATTATTTCACATTTGGTATTTGGAGTTCGTAATGGGTACTACAGCCTATGACAAACATTTTTGTATGCAGGTCCACGTCTTCGTATAGGCCCCCATATAACGGTAGCTCCCGATATTCGGTATTTTTATAATTTCAAAAAGCAAAATTTTTCACCGGAATCGTTTCAAATTTCGTATTGGGTTAATGGTTACTAGAACCTATGGAAAAAAATTTCGTATGCAGGTCCACGTCTTCGTATAGCCCCTATATAACGGTGCCTACCGATATTCGGAATTTTCATGATTTCAGCGGCATTATTTACCGGAATTATTTCAAATTTCGTATTTAAATTTTGTAATGGGTTCTACAGTCTATGACAAAAATTGTTGTATGCAGGTCCACGTCTTCGTATAGCCCCCTACGACGGTACCTCCCGATACTCTGTATTTTTATGATTTGTACCACATTTTTGACCGGAATTGTTTCAAATTTGGTATTTAAAGTTCGTATCACAAAAAAATTTCATAAGTAGGTCCACGTCTTCGTACAGTCTCCATATAACAGTTTTCATTTAAGTGGTAATTTCCGGAAGTTATTTGAAAATTTTCAAGTTTCCTCCAAATGGCAGGGGGTATTAAAAGTTAGGTCCGGACGAACTTAGCTGCTTTTTGACTTTTAATATAATTCTTATCAAAGTCATATCATGCACTATACAATAATGTTATTTCGTACTGGAGGTACAAAAGCCTCCGTCAAATTTGTTGGAAATCGATTTAGAGTTGGATATAGTTCCCATATTGTGGCTGCTCTAAAGCCATGTTACGGAAGCTCTACTAAATACTCAT